GGGGAAAGAAGGAGAAGGGTCATCAAGGAACATGTATAAAGGACCCACGCACAAGGATAACAGGGGCGGGGGGTAGGATCAAGGGTGGGAAATGGAGTGGGGCATGGAGGAGAGTGCTGGGGAAAAAATGGGGACAACTGTTCTTGAACAACAATAAAAAAAGAACAATCCACTTAGTGTACTACAACTAACTTTCAATTGGAATTAAAAAAAAAACCCTTAAAACTAAAGACAAAGTTTTGGGGGAAGGAAACTCACACAAGGCTGTGTATCAAAAGAAAATGTATGAGTCTGCCTCAAGAACTAATGATTTATTACATTATTAGGAACCTGATTCTTCAATTCCTGTTTTGATTTTTCTTTACTCTTATTCTTTGTATAACTATATAATGGTGGATATTTTTGCCACACACTAAGTAAGTGACATGGGGCATACTGCTGAAACTCTAAACATCTCAGCATCTTAACATTGTAAGCAATAAGATGTCAATGGCAAAATAGTACCTATTTCATAGTTATTATGATTATTAAATAAGATAATTATTCTTCTAGGGATTTCTTTCGTTCTTTCATTTGGGGTATCTTCTTTTTGTCCCCATTTTATTTATTATGTATGTGTGTGTATTAGGTAGATCTGCTATGACTTCCAAACTTGCCATAATGGTTTTATATTGTAGGTTTCCTGTGGTGCTTATTGGTGCAATCTTCCAGATCACCTGAGGTAGGTGCACAAAGGATGTCTCTTGTGTGGGTTATGTGCACCCTTCTGTTGTAGGTAAGTCTTAATGCTGTTGGCCCGTTCATGGGTGGAGTTAATCCTCAGGCTGACTGACTATAATGATATACCTTGATCATAGTGTTTGAGCCATTGTGGAGTGGCTCCCATCCTCCCCACCCCCGCCACCATACCAAGCAAAGTTGTTTCCAGTACGTTCTGGTAGTTGCAGAATCTCCCTTGGGGTGTGCCAATTGTGTGGTTAGTTGGATGGAGCTATGGTGTGGTCTGAAGCCCACCATTTGTTTTGTTTTATTGAGTCCAGTTGGATGAGGTTCCAGTGCAGGACAATGTCAGATGCTAACTGTCTGGCTTTGGGCTACCATGCATTACTGTTTGTACCTGCCTCTACTGTGGCTGGGTGTGCATGGTAGGGACCAAGCTTTGTACAAGGGTTGTTTTCCTCCAGCTTAGAACTTAGATAAATCTATGAAGGTCCAAGGGTCCCTGAGGTCTGCCTCCACCTCTCAGCTACTCTGCCATCCCCTTAGGTTGCTTAGTCTCTCTCCAGAGCCTTCTAAAGAAAGATTGTAGAGTAGGCCTATACTGGCCATTACCAAGAGACCCATAGGTCACAAGCTAGGTAGAATGTGGTAATTGGGGTTGGGTGATAGGGCTAGTGGGTCTCCTACTTGAGTGCTGGGCATTCAATGAGGGGAAAGTGGCCTCTGTTCCAGAGCCATCCCATTCATTCTCTGCCAGAGTTTCCAAGTCTAGCTCCCCCAGGAGGAGCACACCACAGATTCAGGTTATGTGCAGACAGCTGTCCTCTCTGAAAGAGCAAGCTCACCTGGGGAGAGCCGTCAGGGCTTGGATGACAGATCAAATGAGTCTCCCATTGGGGGAGGTACAAGGTGAATGTGCGGGAGGGGGCCAATCGCTTTGTTCCTGTCCTAGGCAATAGCCTCCAAGGGAGACACATTTCGAATGTCCCAACTCCCAGCAGAGCTCCCTTCCCCTGGCAAAGCAGAGCTCAGCAGGTCAGGGCCATTGTTACTTGGGAGGGCAGATCCAATCTTCTGCTGGCAAGTCTTGTAGGAGCGGGGCAGGCACTTCTTCCCTTTCCTGGGCAAAAGCTTCTGACATGCCCACAATGTTCCACCTGCCCGCAGTTTCCAGATATGCCTTTGGGATGAGCTCAGCAGGGCCGAGCCCCAGGCTACTCCAAAGAAAGATCAAATAAGACTTCCATTGGAGGAATCACGTGGGCTGAGCTTGCACAGAAGATAAAAGTGGCCTCCCTATGATGTAGCCACACATTCCAACCTTGCCCGCTTAATTCCTGGACAAGCCACCTGGGCTACGTGCTGTAAATGTCCCAGCTCTACACAGCAATCCACTGCCCCCTCGGGGCCGAACTCAACATGGCAGGGCCACAGGGAGAGGAAGAGCACTCCAAGTGATTTGGCAGGTGAGGGGCGGGGCGCTGGGCTCTCCCGGTAGAAAAGAATGGTCTCCTGTCTGAAGCCACACAGTTCAGTCATTGTCTGAGTCTTTGCCAAGAGCTTCTGAAAAAGAGTTCCCCCAAGGTCCCTTTTGGGACCAGCCAGCAGGCCTCTCTGCAGGACTCAAACTTGGTAGGGTAGTGTCATCTGTAGTTAGGAGACAGGGCAGTACACTCCCCAGGCTGGTGCTGTAACTATAAGAGTGCACGACCCTGGGAAGGTGACGTCTGAGTCGCTAGCAGACTCCCTTCTCTCCTGGGTGGACTGAACCCCACTGATTTTTACTACCAGATGCTGTGCGGGTTCCTCTTCCCACCTCAGTTGCTCTGGGTTGGGGATTCCTGCAAGGGATTGAAGTTCCATGCTCCTGTGGGGAGAGAGTTTTGCAGCTGAAATGTCCCTCAGGCTTCTCAGCCACCACACGTGGGTGCAGGGGCCAGTCCTTTCTACATCTTCACTCTTCTTCCCAGTCTCTATGACACTTCTGTAAATCCTTGATTATAGCATCCCAACTAATCTAGCCTTCAGTTGGTTTTTCAAGTTTATTGCTTTATAATTTAGCTGTAAATCCATTTGGCATTCTAAATAGGGGAGTATAGCTTCCACCTGTTCTGCAGCCACCTTGGAATCATATTTGTTCTTTACATATTTTGTTTTTTTATCCCTTATCGAATATATGGCTCACAAATATTTTTCTTCTTTCATAGGTTGTCTTTTCTCTTTTTCAGTTGTTTCTTTTGCTGTGTAAAAGCACTTTAGTTTAATGTAGTACCATTTGTTTAATTTCTTACTTTGTTGCTTGAGGCTTAGGTGTCATATCCAAAAATCATTGCCAAGACCCATGTCGAGGAGATTTTTTTCCTGTTTTTTTTTTTTCCCCTAGGAGTTTTACTGTTTCGGTTCTTATATTTAAGTCTTTAATCCTTCTGAATGGTGTAACAGGGATTCTTTTAAATGCAAAATTTTTATTTTTCCAGTGTCATTTATTGAAGAGACCATCTTTTCTACATTGCATATTTTTGGATACACTGTCAAATTTTATTTGACTGTATACTCTTGGGATGTGTCTGGGCTTTCAACTTTTTCCCATTGATCTATTTGTAGGTTTTAATGCCAGTACCCTACAGATTTAATTGTTATAGCTAAATAATATAGCCTGAAATCAGGAAGTGTGGTGTTTCTCAATTTGTTGATTTTTTTCTCATGATTTTTTTGGCAATTTGGGATCTATTGTAGTTCCATATGCATTTTGGGATTGTTTTGTTTACTTCCTTAAAAAATGTCATCGGAGCCCTGGCTGATGTTGCTCACTTGGTTAGAGCAGTGTCCCATAACCAAAAAGTTGTGGGTTCTATTCCCAGTCATGGCACATACCTATGTTGCAGGATCAATCCTGGGTCTGGGAAGGTATGAGAGGCAAGCAATGGATGCTTCTCTATTGCATCAATGTTTCTCTCCCTTCCTCTCTCTCTAAAAGCAATGAAAAAAATGTCCTCCAGTGACAATAAAAGTGCTATTAGAATCTTTATAGAAAATGCATTGGAGAAATAACATTCCAGACAAGAAAACGTTGTTACCATCAATTGACTATTACAAGAAATGTTGAAGGGCCTGCTTTAAGAAAAAGAAAAAGAAGGAAAAAAAGCCAGAGAGACATTGTTAAAAAGATACAATGGCAATAAAGAGACAATAAGTATATATCTATCAATAATTACTTTAAATATAAGTAGCTTAAAATCTTCAGTCAAAAGATAAGGTAGCAAATAAGAAAATAAGACCCATATATATGCTGTCTACAAGAAACCCACCTGAGAATGAAAGATACACACAGACTCAAAATAAAAAGATGGAACAATATTTTATGCAAATGTAAGGGGAAAAATATTGGGTAGCAGCACTTATAACAGACAAAATAGACTTTAAAACAAAGACTGTAGTAAGAGACAATAAAGGACACTACATAATGATAAAGGCAGCAATCCAACAAGTAAATGAGTTCATAGACTGCTAACCCAATATCCAGAGCAATAAGAACTGAATGAACTGATGAAAGATGACTGTAAATTATTAGAAAAGCACTGTGGAGAATAAGTAAGAGTGCTGAATAGAAAATATAAAAAGATTGTTTCATTTTAGGGGTCACAAGAAACGCTTTTTTTTGTTTGAAAAACAAAAAACATGATTGTTTGACTTTGTCTAACTGCTCTCTGGGGTGGACCTAAGAAAGAAAATAGTTGAATTGATCCTAGATTAGCTTTTGATCACAGTAGCCTTAGAAGAAAGGTAAAGAGGAAATTAAGTTAAAATAGCTGGTAAAAGAGTAGCTGACTTCACGTTTCATTTATCCCCCACCTTCATACCCACACCTGATTATTTTAAAGCAACTCTCAGAATAATTTATCACCCATAAAGAAATACTTTATTATTTCTCTGTAAAGGATAAGAACTAAATTTAACATACCAAACTACCATTGTTACACCTAATAATATATTTCTTAAAATTATGAAATATCCAGTGTCAAATTTCTAATTATCTTATAGATATTATAATATACTTTTAACAGCTCTTTGTTTGATCTAAACAAGGTCCACACACTGGGATTGCTTGATATATGTCTTGTCTCTTCTATTTAAAAAAAAACTTTTTATACTGTAAAATTTTTTTATTTAGAATTAGCCAGCTGGATTCAGTTTAGATGATCCCAGTTTTGCTGGAGCATCCAAAGCATCCTAGTCTGCAGCCAGTGGAGCACTGGCCTTCTTCCCTCCTTCAGGACTGGTCAGGGTGTGGACTTGGCCACATCAGTGTGACAGAGCTTCTTCCCAGCCTGTTTGATCTGGTGCTCCTTGGCCTTGACCTCCACCATGAACACAGGTGGGTTGTTGTCTTCTGTCCTCTTGGTGGCTGACTCCATAGTCAGGGGGAACTTGACGATGGTGTAGTGGTCAAGTTTGTTTCTCCTGGGGGCGCTGGTCTGAGAATACTTAGGCTGTTTTTGGAGCCACAGTGTGTTCAGCGTCAGCAGGTGGGTGTGCAGGTCTTCTTTCTTGTGGCTGTGGATGCCTTTCAGCACTGCTTCTCTTGCCTTCAAAGCCTTTGCTTTGCCTTCAGCTTTGGGAGGATTTCCTTCATTTTTGGTGCTGTTTTCATGAAAAAGACTAGCCCTTGTCTCTTTAAATGGTAGCATTCTGCTATATTTTATTTTCTCTTGCAATTTATTTAGATAAAGAAACTAGATCATTTGTATCATAGAATTTCCTAAGGTCTGGATTTGGATGATGGCATCCCAGAGGTATCATTAAATATGTTCCTCAGCCTTCTGTATTTCTAGTAAGTAGATAGTTGGACCTAAAGTTTTGATCAGATTCAAGTTTAATTTGGTGGGAAGTGGAGCAGGAATACTTCATAGGTTGTGTGGCATTTTTCCACTAGGGGCATATGTTATACATCTGGCTATCTCTTTTTGAGATGTTAGCAGCTGTTGAAATATTAAATCTCTAGATCCATTAATTAGAGTTGCAAAATTATAACATATCTTCTTTATTTATTATCTGGAATACTTCTATAGAAGGAAACTTCACCCCATCTATTTGGTTACCCTGAGATGCATTTTATTTAGGAGACACAGAAAAATATTGATTCTTTCTTTTTATTTACCAACTTTCAAAATAATTTTTTTACAAGCAGCTTCCTGTGGTGACAATTTTTTAAGACCTTTCAGTATTATCCAATTGATTAATGTGTTTCAATCCATGACAATTATCATCCTTATGGGTGATCAAATTATCCCTCTATGACCTGTGGGAGTCTGTTCAAGTAGACTCCTGAGTTTTTTTTTTTTTTTAACACAGCCCCCAGAAATCTAAAAATAGCTTCCTTATTTCTGGTTTGACAAGATGTTCCAGGATCATCTTGTACATTTCCTGCCCCAAACCTTGAATTTCTGCAAGTAACACTGCTTCATTTTACAGACAATGTTTTTTTCAAGACCACAATCTGGGTACTAGGAGTGCTCTTTGTTCCTGAGTTGGTCGTTATTTCTAGGTATTTTTAGTGGACAGAGCTAGGAATTTATCTTAAAGATTAAATATTTCATGAGTTCATACTGATACTTAAAATTCAAATCCCAGACCACAGGTTTAAATTAACCTCTTTGATCTTACATTTGTATCTGTTTTCTTCAATGTTGAAAATTGCAATTCTCAGTTACTGGGAATGATAAAATTAAAAGCTGTTTGCATTTCTTTTTGTGTGAACTGACTATTCATTTCTCTAGTCTATATTTAAAGATGATTGGTCTTTTCTTCTCCACTTTTAAAAGCATATAAAAAGCATATATATATATATATATATATATATAAATGTTAACCCTTTTTTGGTGATATGTTATGAATTTTTTTTCAAATTTTGTCATTTGTCTTTTTTCTTTGTTTATGGAGTTTTTTAATTGTGCTAAATATATAATAAAATTCATCTATCATTGTCCTTATTGCCTCTGGATCTTAAGTAGTAGTTAACAAAGATTCCCCCATTCTCAGATTGTAATACTGTATTTTCTTCTAGTACATGAACGGATTAATTTTTTACACTTAAGTCTCTGATTCTTATACAGTCTGCCCTATTCTATAGCTTGAGGAATAGATGCAATGTTTCCTTTACTCAATATGACTTTCCAGTTACCGTTATGCCACTCATTATAAAGCCCATCTTTTCCTACTGACGAGCTTTATCTGAGGCAGAAGCTGTTGGTGCCCTGTCTATATCCTCTTGCTGTTACCACTTCAGTGCATGCCAGCAGGAGTTCCAATTATCATCAATTGCTTTACTTTACCTGCAGGTTTTCTCTGGCCATTAGTACCTATTCGGCCCACACACTGCATGCTGGAAGTACCTGAGAATTAACATTCCTCAGAAAATGGTCTGCAATCAACAACTAACAAAAGTTGCTGACAAAATAAGCTTCAGGAAGGATAACACTGAAGAACATGTTCTTCCCAGAATACCCAGCAGAAATTAGCTATAGTTACCCACAGAGGTAATTTGCTTGATAACACAACCTTTATTGGTTGTCTTTCCTTTCCATGTTTTATTTCCCCATGACCTTCTTGGTATTTCTTGGGATCACATAAAAAAGGAACAACTCTTATCTCAGTATCACTTGGAATAACCAAGCTAAAGCAATTTTTAAAAATCATATACTAAATTTGCATATTTTATTGTATTTGCTACTCTACTTTGTTAATCTGTCTGTTTATTCGTGTTTTGATACTACATTGTTTTAATCATAGGAGCTTTAAAGTTAGCGTTAAAATCTGGTATAGACAGATTTTCTTGCTTTTTGTCTCAGGGATTTTCTAGCTATGTTTGATTGTTTAGTCTTTTACATGAACTTTGTAATGACCATATCTACCTTCAGGGAAGAAAACTGGCATTTTTTAATTGAGATTACATTAAATTAATGATTTAAAGGTAATTAAAATTATGTTAATTTTGTATATCCAAGAACTTACTATATATTTCCATTTAATTTCCTCTACTTTTGTGCTTTTAAGAGTGTTTTATATTTTTCTTCATACAGGTGTTGGACTTTTCTTGTTAAGTTTATGTTTATGTATTTAATTTAATTTTCTGTTGTAAATAGGATCTTCACTTTCATTATATATTCTATCTGATTTTGTGTATTGTGTGTGTATATAAATACACACATATATGAAAGCAATTGATTTTGTATACTAATTTAATAACTTCCTAATTAACCTCTCATCTTTTGTAGCACACAAAAGCCTTCCGCACTCCCATCTTCCCCAGGAACTCTTTGCCCATCCAGGCACCATCTTCTGTTCATCTGTTCATGAGCCAGCCTGGTGGAAAAGGTGTCTGTCCACTTCCTCCTGGTGCATTAACTCAAACCATCCCAAATGTATTGCGGCCTCCTCTTGACTCCCCACTGAGACTGTTCTGTTCGAAGTCAACAGATCTCCGTGCTGCTAAAACCAGTATTTCTGATTCAACTTGAATTCTGTGCAAGATTAGATACAGTTCCCTCCTTGAAATATTCACCCTTGCACTTTTGTGATCCATCTCTGGCACCCAGTTTCCTGGTTCCCCTGCTATATTTCTGAACATCTACCTTCACTTTCGTCTGGGGATCCCCCACCTCTCATATTTTAGAATCGCACAGTTACTCAGAGCTCAGGTCTTGAATCCCTTCTTTATATTCTTAACTTAGGTGGCTCACTCAATCCTATGTCTTCCTTTTACTTTTAAAAATAATGTATTAAAACTTACTATATTTTAACAGTACTTAATAAAAGTTATTAACTCTGAATATTTCATTTAGAAAACTTTAAATTCCTAGAGATAGCCCAATCTCTCCAGACAGTAATGCTGTTTAACAGAAAATGAAAGGTGTGATTTTTTTCTCTTGAGGTATAGACGAGTACATGTCATACATAGTATCTGCATACACTCATGTAATTGAAGCAATCGTTTTGGATACCTGTATTAAACAGTACCAGAAATAAAGACCCTTGATAACTCCAGAATTTCAATATTAGTCTTCTTAAAAATATTTTTAAAACTACTTTAAGAACTGACATTTTTGTTCTGTTGAATAAATGATGCCATTTAAGAAAACTTTAAAATATTTACTGTGAAGAAAGTGGTAATAGTTTTCTTGGACAAAGATGATAATGGATTATTCTAAAGAAAATGCAAATCATGATTAATGACTTAACTAGTGGAAAGTAAGACAGTAGAGTTAGTTTCAATTTAGTTGGATTTATTTATTTGCTCATTTTCTCCATCTAGTCTCACTGATTGACCAAAGTTATACCCCCACAGTTCCATGATAAATCAGTATAATTTGCTTCACTTTTAGGAATTTCAGTTTTGGCTTTTGGCATTTACTGATCTTCACTGTTGTGGAGCAGAACACTTTTTCTTACTGCTGCCATCACCGCATTCTTGACTCTAGCGATTAGTGATAGATCTGGTGGAGACTGCTGGAAGGTAGCAGTCATTGGAGCTCGTGCAGGTGGGGTCACTGATCGCCCTGGTGAGCTTAACGTGCGAGAAGGTGATTGAACGAAAGGAATTGAAGACTGTCCGGTGGAAGATTTTGCTGACTGCGCCCTTGCAGAGTTTTGTTGGGGTGGCATCAAATGCCTCGTCGATTGCGCCGTTGAAGGCCTTTGTGACTGAGCAGCTGAAGGTTTTGATGGCTTGAAGGTCACAGCGGATGACTGTGTCCCTGAGCGTCTTGACCGCGTGGTGTCTGAACTTCTTGTGGACGGGGAAAGTGAATTCCTTGGTGATGGAATCTGAGCTCTTGATGTTTGTGGACGTGAAGAGGTTGGTGAGAGTGGACTTGAATTTTGTGGATTTGATGATCTTGGCAATAGTGTAACTGGAAATCTTGGTGGTGGAATACGATAGCTCAGTGATGGTGAAAGTGAAGATCTTGGCGATGAAGGAATTGAAGACTTTGATAATTTTGTAACTGAAGCTGTTGCTGATTGTACAACAGAAGCACGGCCACTGAGATGTGAAACTGTGACCTCTGTTTGAACACTACGTGAGGTGACTGCAGAAGAAGAGAGAGGTGGAGGCAAGCCCTGATATTCGGCTTGTGCGAGTAGATCATGTGTTGTCAGTTCATAGTACGGGAAAGGTTCTGTTGCTGGAGTGGAGAAGGCCCCTTTAGGTGGGATAATTGGAACAGCTCTATCAGGAGCACCTGGGCGGCAAGCAGCAAGAGATGTTGCTGCTGCGGTTCGCAAAGCAGGCGACGGAAGTTGAGTTGGCACATGTATGCTTGAGGAAGGAGTTTCCACCTTCGGAGCTCTTAATGCAGCTAACCAGTCAGCTGGCAATGCCGGTGCTGAGGCTGGAGCTGTAGGGCTCACAAACACCTTTGTTTTAAGGCGAGTTTGAGGTTGGGGTTTCAATTCTTCTCCCTTTCCAGTCCCGTATCTAACGTATGTAGGTGGATTTTTCACTTCTCTGGATTCATGCATCGGCAGATAGTGAGAGCTGGATATCACTGTTTCTACAGCTCTGGTTACAACCTTATTGATTTCACACAGTGGGAAACTGGAAAATGAGCAACTTTCATCTGGCTGATCTGCATGTGAACGAGAGGCCGCACTGCAAGCAGCTGGGACATGGTGCACCGAAATGTCTCCC